AAAAGAAAGCCAGCTTACAAAGAACTCCAAAAAAAAAAAAACCCTATACAAAACTCAAACAAAATCAGAAACTGCAAGTAGCCACAAAAAGCTATAAACCAACCCTCTCTCTTATGCCTCTTAAAATCAAGTGTTCTTTTGTATCCCAGGGAACCTCTTCCTTGTTTTCTGATAATGAAATCCACTAATTTTCAAAAAAAAAAATTACAAATGACCAGATAGTTTTCAGGACTTTGAACAGAAACCACATGGTATAGTACGAATTTCAACTTGCTACAACTTGCATTAATCAGCTAGTACTCACATTTACGTTGTAGCTAGCTATGATCCATTATCCTACATATCACCAAGAGAATTCTGATATTTCTGTCAGAAACCACATAGCATAGTACGAATTTCAACTTGCTACAACTAGCAGAAATCAGCTAGTACTCACATATACGTTGTAGCTAGCTATGATCCATTATCCTGCATATCACCAAGAGAATTCTGATATTTCTGTTAAGTGGGGTTATCCCGTATCAGTAAAGTTCAGAGTTTGTCGTGACCTTATACTCAGGTTGGGCATGACAATTTTAGCCTTTTAGGTTGGATGCTTAACAATCTCGATTTTCCAATTGCATTTAAGGAGAAATCATTATATTATCACACAGCACTTCTGTTAATTCATTGACGGAACTAGGATATGAAATCTTGACTTCATGCTGAAACTGGGATTTGCAAATTTGCAATTATATATAAATATTGTTGTTGTAATCAAGCAAACCTCAGTGAGTTGCTGAATCTTGAGTTCCACGGGAGATGGAGCTGCTTCCACTGGTTTCCCTTCTGGGGTAACTGGAGTGGGCTTCACTTGTTTCTTGAGCTCATTAATCTCATTCTGGATGGTCCTGACTCGCCTCCATTGCCAACCCAGGTACCCAGCCCACAAAGTGTATAAGAACAAACCACCCATGACAATGGGGTGTACAAGTGCAAAACTTCTTCCCTCCAAAATCCCAAACTCTCCATTAACAGCAAGAGCATCCTATTCGTTCGTTAGAAAACCACATTAAAAAAGTGAACAAATCTACTCCAAAATCGAAAATGAAAAATAACGAAAGTGTAGGAGTATCGTTCTTACCTTTGTGTCCAAGAAGAAGGGCAATGCAAGCGTTGTGAGGGGAAGAGAAGCTGATTTTAGGCTATCGATGGTTTCTGTGAAGAGTTTTGGAGGGTTAATTGATTCATTGGAGATAATTTTCTTTGTGGGGTTTGAAAGAACTGGCAGTTTGGGTTGAGGATAGTGTGGCTTTTGTGGTAGAATGGGGAGTTTCAGTAAGCTGAATGTGGCTGCCATGCGCTCTCTGTCTTTATGGAGGCGCAGAGACAGAGAAAAGGGGATAACGAAACAGGTCTAAAAAAAGATAAGGAACAGAGATTACAGGACGTGTTTTGCAGTGATGTCATGTGGCTTGCTCTACTTTGCTTTTGCCTGTAACACGGACCCCGCTATGAAACTTTTTAGGCCCGAGACCGGACCTGGATCACTCTCAAGTAACAACAGCAGAACCCTTTACCAGTTGGGCTGCACTTCACTTGACAAACATTTGTGGATGTCAGACAGTGTTCGGCGAATCGCTAGAAGCTTCCACCATTTTTTCTTAGCGTGGAATCAAATCATATCTGAATAACTCAATCATTGGTCCATGATGATAATAGTGCTAGGAAAATTCTACCGGTACATGACATTCGTGTAACTAGTGTTTTCCATGTCCAGCATTTGCTTTTTAAATCTTGCTTACTTCTTTGCAAGAAAAAGCCATAGAATCAAATCTGTTCCCAGGGGTCTGTAGAGAAAATTTAGCCAATGCCGTTAAACTCGAATTTTCTAATTCCTCTACCACATTCGACACTATTGGGCAATTTGAAAGTCCACATAAGTTGTGGGAGACTCTCTTCCAAATTTAGCTAATTATGAGCCGGAAACCTATGCATGTAATCAGGGATACGTGAGCAAATAAAACGAAGGTTGGGCCAGTACGAGGTTGCAAGTTGCAACGTCAAATTCAGAAACCCATCAACGCTTATCTCTGGGTTTTATAATATCTTAAGCCCATCATGTATGTGTACACTTAACAGTAAGACTAGGGCTTGCGGGTTTGCTTTGTCAAAGCAGGCCCAAATGCCTATTAGGCAGATTTTAGCCAACCATTTTATATTCCTCTCGAGTGGCGGCTGCGATAGCTGCCGGTGATCTGATCCCCCACCATTTCGTTGAAATCGGCGGTGTAGATAACAACTGAACAGCAAGACTATGTTTTAGCGGCAGCCGCCATTCTTCATTTTAGATTTGAAGCTATTTATTAAGTGCAATTATAGGTAGAAACTCAATATAGAATGTGCTGTTTGCACCGAGCATTTAGAATCCACAATTATTCAAAAAAATTAGGTCATAGCCCTGCCTAAACAGGCTGCCAAAGAAACCGGTAGGTTTAGTCGGCTAACAAACCACTCAGTCAAACGCATGTTCAAGGTCATTTTCCATGCTTTCTTTCTCATACTGATTAAATTCGCAAAGAGCAAGGAAATTCTTTAGACTGGCGAATCAAATAAAGTAGGCTGGGGGAACGTCTGGCTTGCGGCAGTGGCAGGTAAAGAATTGGTCGATTAACACAAAACGAATAACAGCACTGATCAAAATTAGTATTACTAATAATCCATCATTCATTTCTTAATTACTTTGCACAATCAAAATCACGCACACAATTTCCAACAAATTGCACCAATTTTAACATAATTAGCTAGCCTCTCTTAATTATTTACGTCATTTGGTGTCTTGTTTGGCAAGTATACAAAATTTTGTCACATCGCAGAATGGTTACCGATCATATCATGTGCTGATGAGGGCGCCGAGCTGATTTCTTTGTCTCTACCTAATTGGTCGATGATATGTATCAGGTTACTTGTAGCCACAACCATTTCAAATCCGACAGTTCCCTTCTCATATTTCACTTTCAACATTAGAATCTCTTCAATTATATCCTCTAGTCTGGATGTTTCGTTCATAATCACAATTATCCCAACACAAAAGGGAAAAACATGTACCAGGAACAATCATGCTTTGCAAAAACAAAAAAGAAAAGGATGAAAAAAAAATCTTAAATAATGAAGCTGGCTCTGCTAAATCCAAAAAACTATGAGTGGACTGCAGAAAATGGAGATGAGCAGCGCTGTGAAAATGCCAAGCAACCTATGAATGGAGACTGGGGTTGGAAAAGAACTGCTCGATGTCACGTCACCTGCAGTCAAGATTTCAGTCCAGAGATTATTTGGGATACTCTTGAATCGTCGCATGCACCGTTTCTCCATGGTCGATCTTTGCTGAAAACAAAGTTTTGAAGCCTAGCTAGCAGTCCAGTTATTAAGCGTCGGATACCACGGCTCAGATGGTTTTAGCATGTCAGCTTATGTAAAACTGGTAAACTTAGCTACTTGTCTAGCACAACTTGGATTTTTTTTGGCTACCGATTTTGACAGTGCTCCTTATATTGGATGAGAAGAGCGAGACATCAGTTTTCCTTTCAAGAAAAGTTTAATATCATATGCATATATGGAATCATTTTATACATCAAATATAAGCTCTAATTATTTTTCCATTCATATCAATTAAGAAATTTTAAATTGTAATATATACGGAGATCCCCAAGGTACTAAACTAATTTTTAGAGTTTAAAACTTATAACTAGATTTTAGATTTCAATCATAGAAAATAATATATATATATAAATTTATAGAATGAAAATTTTGAAACCTTTTTCCTTTAATTCTTCTGCTTAGTTGACTTGACCTTATATTCGGGGACTTGACTTAACGCAAATAATTATTCCAAAGTAGATCATTAAAGCCTAATTTCAACTCCATTTTCGTTTTTTTGTATATTAATTAAAAAAGCAAGACTTGTTTTTCGCTTTGTGCTCCTATAGAAGTAGAAAAACTTAAAATGCAGCCTTAATTAATTAATTAATGCCATATAAAATTAACCACCGCCCTCAACAAAATCTGGAAATCTTGATGGCTGTGATTTGTCAATCATTTTCCTCTTTATCAAGATTAATTAATTGTTAGGTAATATATGTAATAGGACCATATAGGCGTCACGCAGAAAAATGCTGTCCGTAATTGCCCCACAACCAAGTCCAAAAAAATCAACCAATCAAAGTAGAAAATTCGAGCTTGCAAAGTTACAATTGAGGTTGACGTTTCGCACTTTGATGGAGAATATATTCATTTTCAAAATAACCATCAAGCAATGCCGTGGGAATTTCGTGGGCCCATAAAGGGAACTTTGAAATTTAATTAAGCTTCGGATAAAATGAAAAAAAAAATAAAGAAAACAATTCTTATCAGTTATCCCTTAAACTCTTAGACTTAATCATGTTACCCACAAAGTTAATCTCCTTGTAAAAGTGCCTTTGAAATAATCAAATTTTATTTATTAAGAATTAAGAAAAGAGAAAAGAGAACAGAAATTGCGATCATTCTCATTCCGCGTAAGAAAAAGGCAGTGAGAAGTACGACCATGCAAAAGGAAAAAGAAAGTTTGATTATGTCCAACGTAATAACCTTTTGAAAAATATAATAAAGGTGTGATTAAGTTGGCCACTTTGCCTCTTCGACTTTGACAAATTTTGCATATTGTTGTTGTTTGATGCCAGTTTGTTCCCAGTTGAAGCTCTGCTTTTTGTAAAAGATTTGGTCGGTAAAGGGGATAATCAGTCAAATTAAGCAGTTGAGTAAGCTAATTACTCTATGCCCCATCCACATGGAGAAATTTTGATCAAAAGATCATTAATTTTCTTGTCTTCTGAGAATTGTAGATAAATATTATATAGAATATTCGAATCCCCAACAAATTACATAAATTAGTTTTTGTAAGCTAGTTTGCTTAATTGGTTTAATAGTTATTGGACTAATCTAGTATTTTGGGTTAAGGGGAAAGACACGTGAGTCCTGTTTGTTAAACAAATTAATAAATTAAAAACTTTGATGCAATCCAAGTAAGTTAGGGTATTAAAATACATTTTAGCCTCTTAAAGCATCCTTGCAGTCATGTGGCCGTAAATTTATTTGATCTTGATAAAGTCATAATAATTTTATCTATACTATAATCTAATAAAATAAGTTAATACTTCAATATTAAATGTGAGTTTAAGGATGTAACCCTTTGTAGACTTTAAATCTTGTAATAGATAAAGTTTAAAGATGTGCTATATAAAGGAAAAGTCATAGTTTTTTTTATTTGTTTATATAAAAATATTAAAATTCTTATTTATTACAAAATTAATATATCAAGAGGATCATCATAATGTACTGAATATTAAAAATTAATTGAATCAAATATTATTTTTATTGTGATTTTGTGTTTTAAATAATTTTGATATTCACATTTTGAAAAACATCAAAATAAAAGGAAACCACATTACCTCTTAATGAAAACGAATTGCATCATTAATTCTTTGTCACACACGGGTCAATTATATTTTGCTTTTTGGCAAGCCAAAGGCCACGAAAACAAAATCAATGGGCATTATATATAATAATAATAATAATAATAAATATTTACGTGGCCCAACCGTGTGGGGAGAAGGCATGTAGTTTCACTGGAACTCCTTAACGGGATCGTAAGCAAATAAATTCATGTTATTTTGGTTGTCCCTGACAAGTAGACTTGAACTAGAGCTCAAAACGCAGATAAAAAAAAGGAGAAATTCCTCAAGTCATTATCCTGCTCCTCAACGCAAGCCCTTCTCTCATCCGAACCTCCTACAAAATATATTAAAAACATACCATATTTCATTTTGTTTTATTCATAAAACTCCATCTCTCTCTAATTGCTTCAATTTTGAGTGTTGACCCATCTAAGGTTGCCGGGAAGTGGCCGTCTCTCGGCAAAATTTTTATTTATTATCATCTTATTCTTTTCCTTTACGGTTCTTTAAAAACAGCCCCTGTCTCTCAATCTTTTTAAATTCGTGTTTTCACTTCTTTCCTTTTCCCGGTAAACATGTTTTTCTTTCCCGGAAGAAGGAAAATTTCCCCTTAATATCCTTCCTCCAGTAGGTTTCTCCATCTCGATTCTGGAAAACCATGGCGATTCTATATAACCCATTTTTTCTCTTGTTGATAGCTTTCATTTCCCTGTTTCTTTTCCGGGTTGCTTTGATCAAGACCGGGCTGATTTATATTGTTAAGAAAAAGTGGTGTTTCATCCAAGATTGCTTCCATGTCTACCAATTCTTCAAAGTCCCAGAATTCAACGAAAGCATGCAAAGGAACCAACTTTATCACAAAGTTTTGGTTTATCTAAATTCTCTCACTTCCATTGAAGATTCGGATTTCACCAATCTCTTCACCGGTAAAAAGCCTAATGAAATCGTCCTCCGTCTCGACCCCAACCAGGTAATCGAGGATGATTTTTTGGGTGCCAAGATTTTGTGGATTAACGA